GGTTCCTTCTGAAGCCACGGAGATAAAAGCACTTTGCATCAATGTTTTTACTGCTTCTCTAATGCTTTTAATTGTCTCCCGCATCTATTTTGGGACACTGACATCTTACAGGCACAGCAGTAGCCTCCAGCAGATGGGCAAAACGCAGATGCACCAGCTTTGCAGCTAATCAGTTGTTTATCCTGCAATAAATAACGTGCAGTTGAACACAAACTGTACTCTGCCCATTCCAGCACAGATGAGCAAACAGCCCCATGTGATGGGAAGGCAGTCAGCCCTCGATGAGCAGCAGTGGTCTCCTCAGAATGAGGAGATGCTGCAGGAGCTATGGGGGAACTGCAGCACGCTGGATTTTTTTCTGACTTTGTCTGGCCAGGACGTGTTCTGAGCTGTGTTCTGACCTTTTCTAGCGACATTTTGACTCTTCAGCAGTGGCAGCAGCTTCTATGTGCATTAAGACTGACTTCTCTCCTTTGCTGAGGGAAATTCTGTCTTTTTCATTGCTTGCCTTCCAGGGAAGATCCAGGTACTGCCTTCAGAGCTCATTCCTCCCCTCTCCCCAAACTAAACACAGGTTTGGGTTCAGAGGAGCCCACTGCCCTGCTGCAGAGGATGGTTCCCTGCAGGCTCACAGCACACGTTGGGCACTTTATTAAGAGAGGCTGTGGAGTCTCTCTTGGGAGAGGCTGTTTCTCAACTGAGTTGTTTGCTTGCATGGTGTGTAATTCTCCAGGAAATAAATATGTCTCAGAGAGGGGATGCTTGCAGGGGGTTTAGGCAATACTATTCATCGCTCTGCATGTTCCCTATTGTGCTGGCATTTCAGTGATCTCTTGTTGCTGCCATGACCAGGTTTTCTCTGTGTTTGCCTTGCCAGAACACGTCAGAATTGGAGGGAGGTGAAGACTGCCAGCAGAGCAGCATCAACACCTTGCCAGACATCTCTCTGGTAAGACAGCACGCCTTTGGTTATTGATGATACTGAGTGTTACCCCAGGTTCTGTAGCAATTTGCTCTGTCACCGACCCCTGGTGCCACTGCAGTTGCTGAAGTAAAGCAACCAAACTACTTTGGAAGAAGGATTCAGGGTCTGAATAAGAGTAGCACCTGTGCTTACAGGAACCAGGCAAAAATTGGGTGGTTTGTCCTCTAGTTGTCCTCATTTGTGAGTCATATTGCCATTGTCTGAAAGATATTTCTGTGCGAATCAGCTGCTTTAGTGGTGCCCTGTGTGCGTGACTGGCTCTGTTCTTGCTTTGGCAGGATGACCTCTCGTCCTTCCCAGAGGAACCCCCCAATTTCAAGCCTCCCCCTCCTCCCACAGCCCCCCAGATGCTGGACCCCTCCGCTGCCCAGCACAGGAACCCAGGGAAGGACAAACCCAAGCGCCCTTCCTCCGAGTCCTCCCAGTCAGGCCTCTTCTTTGTGGCCCCCCGAAACCCCACACCCCCTCCGAGCCACTCCGAGAAGGACACCATCAGTGTGACCTCCACTGCCACCACCTCCACCGAGGAATCCTCCCCGAGCGCCATCTATGCCACCATTTCCCCAGCCCCGCGTGGCTCCCGACGGCAAATGGACCCCCAGCTCTCCCTGCTCAGCCATCCCCCCATCGGCCCCTTCCCCAGGGTGCAGTCCCCTACCAGGCTGACCAGCCCTCCTGCAGATGGCCCTGCAGCTTCCGTCTGCCAAAGCCCTGCATCCCCATCCCCACCTCCACCCCCAGCCCACCCCGCTCCCCCTCCGCCCAGCCCTCAGGCCAACCAGCACTTCATCATGGTGGAGGTGCACCAACCCAACAGCGAGCCCGATGTCAACGAAGTGAGGCCTCTGCCCCAGGCTCGAGGTGGGTGTGCTGCCAGGGTAAAGGCAAAATTGGAGGGTCCCCGTTGTTTTGTTTTATTGGGGTGCTGGCTGTGAGTGCAGTTTGGCTTTAGCTTGGGGGCTCATCTGCTCACGCAGTCCCAGTGCTGGGCTGTGGGGTGGGAGTGCGTCCTGCAGGAGGCAACATCCGCTGGTCTGACCAGCAGCCTGTTGGAGAGAGATGGATGTGAAAGCTGGACTGTTTGGTGGATGAAGAGTTGGATGGTCATAGCCAGAGGGCTGTGGTCAATGGCTCTGTGTCCAGGTGGAGGCTGGTATTCCCCATGAGTCCATTTTGATGCTTTTGAACATCTTTATCAAAGACCTTGACAACGGTATCAAGTTGTACCCTCAGCAAGTTTGCTGAGTGGGGCATCTGACACCATAGAAGGAAGGGATGCCATGCAGAGGGACCTGGATGGGCTTGCCCACATGAACCTAATGAGGTCCTTACAAGGCCAAATGCAAGGTGCTGTATTTAGGCGGGGGCAATCCCAGACATGAGTACAGACTGGGAGAATAACTCCTTGAGAGCAAACCCGTAGAGAAGAACCTTGGGGGCCCTGATGGATAGAAAGCTGGACGTTAGGCAGCAATGTGTGCTTGCAGCCCGGAGCCAGCTGCATACTGGCCTGCATCAGTAGCGGGCTGGCAGTGGGCAAGGAGCAGATTGCCCTCCTGAGGCCCCACCGGCAGCTCTGCCCCCAGCACGGAGAGATGTAGGAGTGGGTCCAGAAGAGGGCCCTGAGGATGCTCAGAGTGGCACTGCCGCCCTCCCGTGGCACCGCTCTCCCACTGCAATTAGTTCATTAATCACGGTAACGAGGGGAACGAGCGCCTGCCTCAGGCAGCGTCCTGCTCGAGGGGGGTCAGCGGTGGGACCCCAACGCTTCCAAAGGGACATTTCCAGGGCTTCAGTACTCCCTGCAAAGGTTCCCGATGCCCATTTCCAGGCTCCTTCTGCACCCGCATCCTGCATCCTCCAAGGGGATGAAGCCCCAGTCTGGCAGCTCCTGCTTCAGGAGCAGGAGGGGAAGGCTCTGGGTTGGCTCACAGTAATTCCAGCAGGATCCTCGAGCTCACCATCCTCTCCCAACTACCCCAGTTCATGACCTGAATCCAAGCTTGGGGGCACTTGGTGCTCCCGACGCACAACTCTGCTCTTCGGGATGGATTCACTTGAGAACCTCGCTCTAAAATGAGGTCCAAGCACTGGGGACCTGCCCAGCCCCGGGAGCAGAGGAGACGTCCTGGCACAACCAGTCCCATCATCTGACCCCCCCTCTAACAGCCCGCATCTCTCCGCAGCCTCCACGCTCTCCCAGCTGTCAGACAGCGGGCAGACCCTCAGCGAGGACAGCGGGGTGGACATCGGCGAGGTGGAGGTCGGCGGCAAGGACAAGAACAGGCAGCCGGTCCCTGGGAAAAGCAGAAGCCTCAAAGAGGGCACAAGGAGTGAGGGGACAGCAGAAGGGGCTTCCAAACCGGTGAGGATGGGTCCTGGGGGCGCTGGGTCAGAGACCAGGGGAGAGAACATCACTGATAGGACAAAGGGGAATGGTTTTAAACTGAAAGAGGGGAGATTGAGATTACACTTTAGGAAGAAATTCTTCACAGTGAGGGTGACGAGGCGCTGGCACAGCGTCTTGCCCTCTGCCTTTGTGTGCTGTGGGATCGCAGTGGGTGGCAAGAGCCCCTCAGCATCACTGCCCTGTGCCCACAGCCAGGGCTCCTGGAGCCCACGTCGTGTCTGATCCGGGTGTCCAAGAGCGCGCCGACCTTGGGAATCGCCATTGAGGGCGGAGCGAACACACGGCAGCCACTGCCCCGCATCGTCACTATACAGGTAGGGGGAGCTGAAGATGGGGAGAGCTCAGCACACGTCCCAGCCCTGTGCTCCCCGTTGGGAAAGCCCCTCAGTCACCTGCTGTCAGCCATGTGGCTCCAGCCCTGCCCAGGGGGGATTTTCGGGATGCTCCCAGAGGTACCATTCTGTTAGAAGGGACTTGGGGAGTGGAGGGTTGTTCACGTGCTGTGGCTGATCCCATATCATAAGGCGTGTGCCGGGAATGGAGGGCTCACTGCAGACGTGCAGGAGATGTGGGCAGCCCCAAGAACCTGCCAAGTGTGGGGATTGGGGAAGGGAGAATGGTGGATGAGGGCTGGGGAGCAGTGCCCACAGCTCTGCCCTCGGGGGCTGTTTGCTCTGCTCTTTGCTTGGAGCAAACCTCAAGTTACAGCAGCAGAAGGGCAGAGCTGAGCCCGTCCCTCCTTGCAGCGCGGGGGTTCAGCACACAACTGCGGGCAGCTGAAGGTGGGCCACGTCATCCTGGAGGTGAACGGCACGGGGCTGCGGGGCAAGGAGCACCGCGAGGCTGCCCGCATCATCGCCGAGGCTTTCAAGCTGAAGGAGAAGGACTACATCGATTTCCTGGTTACAGAATTCAACGTCGCCCTTTAGGAGCCACGTGGGACCGGGGGCACCCGGATGGGAATGGGAGGCGACGTGGGGGCACCGGTGCTCCCCCACTGCTGCACCGCAATGCATATGCAGAATCCCACACCGTCCCCAGATGTCCCCCGCGGGGCTAAGAACGGACAGATTCACACCCTCTTTGGGGCAGGGGTGCCCTATGCCGGGGGGGGGGAACTATTCCCATATCCCCGCGGTCATTCTGGTGCCAGCTGAGGGGGTGGAGGTGGAAGGGTGAGCACGCAGAGAGCAGCCGGACGCCTTGTGACTTGCTGCCGCTGTCATTGTATTTATACACAGAGCTTGGCTTTAGTTTTTCAATAAATGGGCGGTCATAGGGCGGTATAAGGGTGCCTATGGGGCGCGGCGCGGCGCGGCGGCCGCCGCCAGGGGGTGCCCGCGCTGCATAAATTATGATGATGAGCGACACTTTCCGCGCTCCCATTGGCCGTCTTGCCCAGGCTATGCAAATGAAAGCAAAGAGCGGTCTTTATGCTAACGAGCTCTGACGGCGCGTTGCGATTGGAGGAAAGAACCGGGGCCGAGGATGAGCGCGCGGCCACGCCCACTTCGGCGCGGGCCGCGCTATTGTCCGGCGGGGCCGGGAGCGGAACGGAGAGGGGCTGGGAGGGGGGTTGTGCCTTACAGGTGAGTGGATGGGAACTCTGATGGGAAGGGAGGGGGCTGGGGGGAGGGAGTGCTGCTCGGAGCTGGGCGGGCACTGGGAGCGGGGCCAACGCCGCGCAGCGCCGCTCCTCCCTGTACGGAAGAGGGGGCACGGCCAAGGGCCCCATCCTGGAGAGGTTTTGCGGTGGGAGGCGGCCGGAGATCCGGAGTCGTGATGGAGCTCCGAGCAGCGGTACTGCATGAGCTGTGCGTCCGGAAGGGGTTCGGGGTGCGCCCGTGGGTCGGCCGCGGGAGGGAGGGGGAGAGGGAGGGGGGGGGCCGGGGCTGCCGCTGCTGTCGCTGCGAGGAAGTGGCGGGGGCCGCCGGCAGCTTCAGTTCCTGGTTTCGAGGAAGGCGCTGAGCTCACCCGGCTGCGGTCCCGCTGGGGTTGTGACATCCCCGGGCCGCCCCGAGCAGCGCTGCTCCGCGCCTCGCCCGACGGCAGCGGGCATCGCCCTCCATCCCCATCCCACCCCGGGCTGCGGGTTGCACAGCGATCGCTGTCACCCAGCCGCGTCACCGCGCCCACCCTGTGCGCTGGGGTTCGTCCCCAAAGGGACCCGCAGCTCTAAGGGTCGGGAGGTGGGAGCGATGCTGTCCCACTGGGGCCGGTGGGGGACACGGGGGGGGTTTCCATCAGGCAGTGCCGCGGGCCCCTCACGCCTTTCTTCGCTGCGCTGTTTTCCCCGTTGTTTTTACGAACCGGGAACGACTGCCCGCTGAGCTGCAGATGTCCCCTGCCGAGTCTGAGGCACAGCAGCATTCTTTTGGCTTGCATGGTCCTCCCCCCCCTTCCCCAAAAAGTGGTTTGCGTGGAAACGTGTTCAGACAAAAAGACGCTCTACCCCCAAACCCGCTCCCTGCAGGCAGCAGCCGGGACTGAGCCTCCAACCTCCCTCCCCCCCGGCTTTGAGCCCTGCGGGGCTGTCGGAGCGCTGAGCAGTGTTCCTGCAATTCACCGAGGCGTGAATGCTGCTTCGTGGTACGGGAACCCGCTCTGAAAAGCCTCGGCTGCAGCTGGGGCTGAATGCCCCCCCCCCCATAGTGATGCTTGCTCCCCATTGCTCCATGGATGGCACGGCACTCTGCAGGGTTGGTGGAGGTGGGAGTCCCCCCTGCTCTGTCCCCGTGGCCGTCACCAGGCAGGAGATGTGGCACACCCTGGCGTGCTCTCAGCAGGGTAATTAATCCAGCCCGTTAGTGTGTAATTAGCGGCACGCGGAGCAGAGCTTGCACAGCTCCCGGCTGCTATTGAAACCTCAGCATGGCCCCATGGTGGGGATATTCGGCCTAGGGTGTATCTGGAGGTCCCCAAGTAGTATCCTGGGGATGGCCACAGCCCTGCTACACCTGCATGCTGCAGGAAAAGCCTCTAATCCACCCCACAGCCCCAGAGCTGCAAATCCCTACTTAAATCCCACTGTTGGGGCGAGACCTGCATGCAGCAGAGCTGCCCAACATCAGGGGTTCATGCAGTTCTCCCACCACCCTGCTCTGCTTCCCCCAGGCATTGTGGGCACAGAGCAGACCCCAAACCCTCCAACAGGGCCCCAGCAGCCTTAAAGGAAGCAGCATGAGACTTTTCCCTATATGTTGCCCCAGCAGGGCTGCTCTCCCCACCTCAAGGCTCTTCCCCATGTCTGTGCTCCCAGGGATGCTTTGGGCTCTGCATCTTCTCAATGTGACTAAAGAGCAATTTTGGCTCCGGTCCCTGATGGGGTTGGGATGCATCCAATTTCAGATCCTGGCATGGAGAAGGGAAAGCGGCCCCAAGCCCTACAGCTGTGCTCCAGCATCAGCCCTGGGGGGGGGAGGGGGGCAAGGATCCCCAGAACCCTGCACAGTGAGATTCTGGGGGGGAGGGAGGGGTGGAAAAGTGGATGGCTGACCCCCAGTTCTGCTGCTATGTGGGTTCAGCCTTTACTTGGGAGAGCTGTGCATCACCTGCAGTATCCCCATGCAGCAGGGTTCTGCCACGTCTATCACTTTTCCTGAAAGCTCCTCCACCAAAATGTCATGATGCTAAGAGGGAAAAATCCTTTTTTCTTCTTTTTTTTTTTTTTCATTTGATTTTGTTGCTTTTTCTCCTCTAAGTGAGCTGCTTGCTCTTACGGTGGCATAAGAAGGCCTGAAAGAATAACCCAACGTAGCTGTGTGCTCAGAAACCACAAAGCAAAACAATCTCAAGTGTGTGTGTTTGTGTGTGTGGTTTTTACCCTTGCTCTTGGAACGCTTGGGTTTTGCACTTGGAGCTGAACAGAAATGCAAAACATCAGCAGGGGGAACATTTGAGCCTCTGAACCCCCCCCTCCACCTCTGTGTGCCACTGGAGCTGCCCCAGTTGTGCCTGGGGTGGGAGTGAAGCAGGGTGGGATGAGCTCTGCCCTACATCCCTCCCTCAGGATGGAGGTGTGGGGCTGAGAACCCTGCACTCATTGCATGCGTGGGGGCACGGTGCCATCACTGTTCTTGTGTTTATCAGCAGTGACAGCTCACCAGGGGGGGACAGGGCTGCTGTCACACTGCCTTCGCTGTGTCAGCTGTATCCCAGTTTTCAAAGGGGGTCAATTTCTGGTGCCCATCCGTAGCGCCAGGTCCTTGCCGTGCCTTGTGGTCCTCTTGAAAGACCCTCTCTCTGTGCCGTGCTGGTGGCTGTGTGGTGACACCCTGGGGGTGTGTGGGGGTGGGCTGGGGGCTGTGGAGCCCTCGGTATCAGTGGCTCAGTGCCATTCAGCACAATAAGCCCGCAGCGCTCTGTCCCCGCCCCACGGCTGTGTTTTGTCCCTGGAGCTGCTGCTATGGGAACCCTGGGGACACAGCTCTGAAGGGCAGGTCCTGCTTGCAGGGCACCCGTCCTGTCCCCCAGCCCTGGTTCTCGCCACTGTGGGCTTGTGGTATCTGGGGTACATCGGGGCACAGCTTGGGTTGATGCCCTCTAACAAAGCCTGTTTAGCACCCTCCTTCCCTCCCCCCAGGATGCTGAGCAGCGATGTGAACCACATTGGTGATGAGGAGGACCCCAGCTTCTGTGGTGCCATGGGGTGGCACAAGTGACAAGGACAGCACAGGACACCATGGGCAGCTCTTCACCCTGGCTGCGCTGGACTCAATCGGAGCTGGGCAGCCAGGAGCCCAAATGCTGGGAGGAAGAGGAGGAGGAAGAAGACTTTGAGAAGCACATGGATGAGAATGGTGTCATTGGGCTGGGGGCTGCCACTGCGGAGCTCAGCGACCCACAGGACTCAGGTTCTGAGTGGGGACAGGAGGCGGCTGGGAGCCCAACATGGGGTGAGTATCCTCTGCTGCCCCTAAACCCTTGGGAAAGGGACCGAGCAGGGGGGGTCGCTTGGTGGTTGGGGCCTTGGGGATGGTACACATTGGTGGCAGTGCTGCTTTGCAGGGGATGGCGAGGACCTGGATGTGGGGTCCCCAGCAGAGCCACGCTGGTATGCACAGCAGGACCTGACAGAGGAGGAGGAGGAAGAGGAGGAGGAAGAGCAGGGCAGCTCTGAGGAGGACGAGAGGCCAGAGGAGCCCTGGGGAACAGAAAGCGATGGGGACCCCCATGCTGAGACCCCTCTGAAAGCCCTGGGTACCACCACGGATGGCGGCGGCACCTCGGGGCCTTCAGACTCCAGTCCCATCCCCATGACTCCCCCACGCCAGCGCCGAGGCTGGGGTGAATCCAGGGACCCCAAGCAGAGCCCCCAAACCCTGCAGCAGCCCAAACCCAGCCGGCTGTCCCCCAGCCCCCGGCATCGCATTAACACCAAAAAGCTGAAGGACCCCACAGACATTTGCCCATATGGCCGAGGGCGGCTCAACCACCCCCTGCCTGACCTCTCCAAGGTGGAAGCACGGGTGAAGGTGGGGCAGAACTACCGCCCTCCACCCAGCAGGGCCCTGCCCGCCCGTGCCAGGCCCCACGGAGGTCCCCTTGTCCCCAAATCCCCTGCCGAAATCGTCCGGGAGGTGCTGCTGAGCAGTGGGGAGGGGGCCCCGCCGCGGCCCTCCGCCCCCCCTGGAGTGCCACAGGAGCTCCGCTCCCCCAGGCAGGCCACTGCGCTGGTGCAGCAACTGCAGGTAACCCCAGAGCTGGACTGGGATGCTTGTACACCCCGTGGGATAGTCATGTCCCCTTCTAGGGATGCACGTCCCTTTTGTTTCTTATGTCCATACATAGAGATGCTCCTGTCCCACCCCTCCAGGTGCTCATGTCCCACTTGGGATGCCCTTGTCCCCTCTGTGATGCTCATGTCCGCCTTTGAGTTCTTCTGTCCCCCTGAAGGATGTTCCTGTCCCCCTCCGTGGCTTAGGATGCTCATGTCTGTGCCCTCGGGATGCTCATGTCCCCCTAGGAATGCTCCTGTCCCCTCCCCAGGATGCTCTCGACCCCATACAATGCTCCCGTCTCCTGATGCCCTTCTGTCCCTTGGGAAGAGAGGGATGGTCCCATTACCTCCCCATGCAAGGCTACATCCACACCAGCTGTGCAGGTGTGGCAGCTCTGTGCACCCCAGATTGCACCTCCCCATGACACGGTGACATGTGCCCCCCACAGGATGACTACCACAAGCTGCTGACCAAGTACGCCGAGGCCGAAAACACCATTGACCAGCTGAGGCTGGGGGCCAAGGTGGGGAGGGATGTGGGGATGTCTCCAAATATAGGGGTGGGGGGGATGGGGACAGATGCAGTGCTATGCACGGCTTGGGGCATCCTTTCGTCCTCCTGCGCTCCCCCATTGCGCAGGTGGGGAAACTGAGGCAGGGTGCTCCAGGTTCCAAACTGGACACCCCTCATGGCCTTGTTGCAATGGGGCTGAGGTGCCCCTGTTGGGGTGCCTGCTGTCTCTGCTTCCAGGTGAACCTGTACGCCGACCCGCCGTGTGCCAGCCGCAGCGCCCACGCTGGCACCATGAGTGGTGGCTGCAGGGTGATGGCCTTCAGCATCCCACGACCCAGCGCCGCAGCCATCAGCACAGCCCCAAACCCGCAGCTCCCTGTGGGTGGAGGTAAGCTGAGTGCCAGGAAACTTCCTGCTCCAAACCCAACCACCTCACAGGTGCTCCCATAGCAGGGGAGGCAGTGCTGGAGGTCGCCTGCCTTGCTTTTCTTTTGTGTCCAATTGCAGCTCCAGCACGACAACCAGCAAAGCAGGGGGCAGCATCCCAGCCTTGCTCTCCTCGCTCCCCCCTGGGGGGCTGCCCCACATGTGTGGGGCCGTGCTGCTGTGCAGGACCACGGCTCACACAGACATTGGCAGAGCAGACCCGCAAATTTCAAGCGCAGGTAAGTCAGGGGACAGCCCCCAGCGTGAACAAGCAGTGGGGTTTCTAACTCTGCTCAGCCCCTTCTCTCCCATCCAGGTGGATTCCTTTGAAGCCTGGATCCGAGCAGGGAGCTCTGTGCCACAGCAGCTGCTCCAGGTACAGCATTGTGTGGTGCCCCACCCCATCCCTAAAGGCCCCATCCTATTCCCAGGTGCCCTATCTCATCCCTAGGGGCCCCATCCCACCCTAGATACCCTATCCTGTCCCTAAGGGCCTGTCTTGTTCCGAAAGTGGTCCATTTCATCCCTAGGTACCCCATCCTGTCCCCTCAAGCTCCCATCTCTTTCTGCAACCCTAACCCCAGAGGGTGCAGCCCCATTGCTGTGGGGTCACTGCAGGGAGGTTTGGGGGCTCCCTTTGCACAGCAGCGGTTCCAGAGGCTGCAGGATACACAGGACGCACTGGAGCGGGCGTACTTGGAGGCACGAGAGGAGCAGAGCCTTGGGGACATGGGGAACTTCGACCCGGAGCGGTGAGCATGGGTTGTGCATTCCCTGGGATTGCAGTGCTGCTCAGAGCCCTGCGTGGGAGCAGCCCCGGCCCCTCATCCCTGATGATGGGCACTGTGTTGCAGCACAGTGGAAGGGGACATCTTCTGCCTGGGGATGCGCCTGGAGGAGCTGAAGGAGCGCCTGGAGCGGGCAGCACCATGGAGCCCTGCAGTGACAGAGGGCCCCCCCAGCACTGGGAAAACAGCAGGGGACAGTGAGGTGGTGACAGTGGGGCTGCCCCAACCCCTACAGCACAAGCAGCTTCAAGCGGAGGAGGACTTTGGGGATCTGCTGCAGCAGTGAGTGTCCCTCAATGGGAGGTGGAGGGCATGGGGGGCACCCCAAAACCTGCCCACATCCCCCAGGTACCAGCACCTCAAGTCGCTGCCGGCATCACTGAGCCTGGAGCAGCTGAGCCTGACGGGGAGCGCAGCACTGGAGGAGGCTGGTGGCACTGTGGCAGGGGACAGCGGTCCCGGGGGGGTCCTCAGTGGGACACAGTCACTGGAGGAGGGCACCGACCTCGAGACCTCTCCCTCGTAAGTGTGGGTGCAGTTGGGTAGATTCGGGGTGAGCAGCCCCTGTGGCACACCTGGTACTCGCTCTTACTCCTCTCCCCACAGGCCCCCCCCTCAGAGGAAAGCAGTGCCGCTGCCCCACACTGAACCCCCACACCCACAGGGGACCCATGGCCGCCTGTCCCCTGTCACCACCCCGCTGCCACCATCCACCTCCAGGCTCCCGTTGGCATTCCCCGAGCCTTTGCCATCGCGCACAGCCCCGTCCCGCTGCAGCAGTGGGACAGGGAGCACAGCCCCTCAGCGCCGTGCCCTCAAGCTCTGCCACCAGGTGAGTGCTTCGGGGGGTCCCTGAGGCCGTCCCCATGCCTGGGGAGGGGGCACGTGGCCCCAGTCCCACTCCTTTCACAGGAGCAGCGCATGGTGTCGCCGGAGACGGACAGCGGCTTCGTGGGCTCAGAGAGCAGCCGGGTGTCCCTGCTGGCACGCACCCCTGAGCATCGGCCACTGGGCACTGGGTACAGCACCAGCACCACAGGCTTGCTCCATGCCATGAGGCTGTGGGGGGGAAGAGGCAGTGGGTGGTGTGGGTGGGAGGTGGGGACTGCCTCACTGACACATCCTTCCCCAGGACTCATGGTGTACTGGAACCTCCCGTCCCCACTCCCCTCCATCCACAGAAGAAGGAAGCTCCGCTGCTGCCCCCCAGGAAGGCACTGAGGGGTCCCTACCCAGCCACTGAGCACGCCCCCCCCCCAGGCCACAGCGTGCCCCCCAGCATCCCCTCACTGAGCAGCTCTCCACTGCGCTGGGCTGGCAGCCAGGGCAGTGAGCTGGGACCTGAGGGTGATGGTGGTAAGTGCCCGGCCCCCAGCTGTGCCCGTGCCCCACACTGCCCCACTGACTGCCCCATCTCTGCCCCCCAGCTCGCTCTGACTCAGAAGGAGGAGACAGGAGCTGCACCAGTGGACACCCCACCGGTGGGACACCTGCCTCACCATCCCCAGCTCCAGCTCACTGTGACCTGCTGGGATCCCGCATGGAGCGCGAGTGAGTGCCCCCAGCCCTGCCAGTACAGGATGTGGGGTGTTGTGGGGGTCCCTGAGAGTACAGGTTGTCCCTTTGTTGGGAGGCTGACTGGGAATAGTGGCTCCTGATGAGAGCTGAGTCTGCCAAATTCATGACATGTGATCTGATCCAACTCTGTGCTGGCTGTGGGTGCACCCACTCCTAAACAGCATAGGTTTGTATGGAAGTGCCCAGAGCTGTGTCCCACAGGGAGGTGTTGGGGGACTTGGGGCTGTCCCTGCCCCTCAATGTCCCCTCATCATCCCCCCATCATCCCCTGTCCTGTCCCTACAGCCAGGCCATCCGTGCACTGCAGGACGAGGTTTGGCGGCTGCGCCTGCGGCTGGAAGAGAGCCTGCACCGGTCCCACAGCTACCCTGAGGGCAGAGCCCCCCACACCCCCAAGGGGAGGAGGCAGCCAGCAGCCAGCAGAGCTTCATTCCTCCGGGATGCAGCACCCATGGGGTAGGTGGCTGAGCAGAGACCAAATTGTCCCCAAAGAGCACTGGGTTGAGGTCTGGAAGCTCCTGTCTCTTCCCCTATCCCTAACTCTAACCCATTTCCCTAGCTTTAACCCTAACCCTTTTCCCTAGCCCCACATCCCCTTTTCCCCCATGTCCTTTCCCCTAGCCCTTTTTCCTTCAACCTGAGCAGGGTTGGCTCTGAGGGGGGGTCCATGTGCCCAGCCCAAGTGGGGGTACACAAAGGGGTTCCCAGGATACTGGGGTAGGACCCCTTGGCAGCAAATCGCTGAGGGTTGCACACCCCAGGTATCTCCCTGTGCCTCCCCTGCAGCCTTAGTGCTGTGCCCCATGTCCCGGTTTCTCTAATGGCTCTGTGCCCTCTGCAGGGAGCGGAGCCCCACTGCGCGGGGCAGGATGACCCCGGGCGGCCCCAGAGGCAGATGGGCATCGCTGCCACGGGATGGGACACCGGCAGACTTCAGTGAGTGAGGACAGCTGGGACCTCTCCAAAAAGAGAAGGGATGCGGTGGGGACCGGGTGCGGGGCACAGGAATCCCGCATCCTTGCGGGTCGGGATGATGCAGAGCCGCTTCTTTCCCTGCAGCCTCCCAGTCGGACCGCTCGCTGCGTGCGCACGGTGACAGCCGTCCCCGAGCCGCCCCGTCCGCTCACAAACGCCCTCGCAGCCCTTTGGGTGCGATGTCACTGCGGGGACAGCAGGCGGCTGAACGCCGGGAGCCCGACCAGCTGGATAACGCACACGGTCGCACCGACACCGCGATCGGGGGGACGCATTACCGCGTGGCACCGCCCCGTGGGGAGCCGAGCGCTGCGCCGTGCCCCCGCTGCCACCCCGACGGGACAACGACGGGTGAGCATCGCATCCCTCCTGCTTCCCATCGAGCCCCACTGCTTGCTCCATCCCCTCCTCGCTGTGCGCGTTTCTATATATGTTTGCTCCCCCCCCCACCTTCCCCATCCCCGCAGGTGCCCCATCAGTCGACGCCACGCGGCCGCAGTGCAGCAGCACCTCCAGGACCCCCGAACGCTGCCCAACGTGCCGGGCATCACGCGGTGACACGGACAGAGCCGGGCACGGTGGGTGATACTTCAGGGGGGTGGAGGTGGCAGCGAGCTGGGAACATCACACCCACCTCACCCACCGCTTCCGACCCGCAGCACAACGCAGCAAATCGGACGGCAAATCCCCGCCGGAGCCCCGCAGCCGCCCCCAGGCCGTGCAGCCGGAGCGGCCCGCAGGGTGTTGGTACCTGGCTGGGGGGCCTCCCGTCACCTACCTCGCCCCCGTCCCCGTGGTGCCTTACGCGCCCTCACTGCTGTAAGGATGCTCAGCGATGCGGGGG